GACTTCTCCTGCCCACGCGCGGGACGGCGTATGGCTTCGTGCTCGTGCTCGTGGACGTCGTCAGTTGTCGGCGGTTTTCTAGCCCGGGGGTGCTTTCCGGCAGCGGCGCCTCGCCGAAGGCGTTCCGGGGGGTGCCCAGATCCTCCCGAGCGGCCGCCGGATAGCCGAGTTTTGCCCGGAAAGCCACGGGGCGTCCGGGAGGGGGAAGTCCTTGGCATCGCTCGGACGTGTGCATTTTTCCTTTTGCGAGGACCATCGAGGAGCATCCTTGATCATTTGGCGAAAAAGCCACGCACGAAACCGAAAAAAACACAGGGAATGGACTTCCGAGCGATGGCGAGAGTCGGCGGGGGCGTCGTGGGCGAAAGGCATAGCCGTGTCCGCGGCCTCTCGGGTCGGGCCCCTGGGTCGCGATGCCGCGGGTGTGCTGGGTGCTTGCTCGCGGATGCCCAGCGGGGGGCACGCAGCCGTGTGGCCGCGCATCCGCGGGGTCGCGCCCAGCTAGGAGCCCAGGCCGAGAGGGCGAGGATGTGTTCGCCGCTCGTGAGACCTTAAGACCCAGGCGCTGCGATGTTCTTCACGCCCGGGCGTTTTTGCGTGGCTCTGGGGACCATCACGGATCGATGCGACGCGAAGCATGCCGCCGAAAGACGGGGTTTGTGGGGCTCTGGCCGTGAATCTTCGAGACGTTACGGGGCTCTGTTTTTTTTGAGATTCAGGCAAGTTTCTTTGCATGGCGTTCGCGCCCCCCCCCTCCCCCCTATCGCCCCTCTTCAGACGAATACTAGCGTGCAAGTTCTTTTCGACTTGCGTGTTTTCTGCACTTGCAAGTGGTTTGCGGCTTGCTTCAGGTGCAGGCCCGCCCCCCCGTCCATGCGAGTAAAGTTGCCGAACAAAGACATGCTCACGATTTTCTCGCAACGTCGGATCTCGGGGGGGGATATTGAGGATCGAGCCGCGAGGGCCGAGGCTTTGTGGGGCTTGTCCAGGCCTCTAGGGAGGCTCCCACAGTCAACCCGCACAGCAAGGATGAGCAAGCTTCCAAGGGTACCCTTGCATCCTTGCCTCCTCGGTCCATCCTTGGCCGCTTCCGCTGGCCAAGCTCGTTCGAAAATCGTCAACGTGGCCCTCCAAGGCCCTGGCGCCCTTACCGCGCATCCTTATTATACGGGTTGACCGTAGTCCTAATTACGTATTCGATGCACAGCTGGATCGGCCTCGACAAGCGCGACCACCGGCATAGGTCCTGTGGGCCCCGACATCCGTCGATATGATTTGTTCAACCCGCGGCCCCAGAGGTCTCGACCCTTCACATGGGATCAGTGCTTCGCACCAGAACTGTTTGTCAGGGCCCCGGTGCCCCAAAACGGCCCCCAGATGCCGAAGGAGGGGACCAAACGCCCGACTTGGAGAACTCACATCGCCGCGGGGATCCCGGAGCCGATGCCTGACCCCCTGGGGCCCCAGGCGCGGGAAGACGAGCTGGTGCGGATCCCCGCGGGCAGCTTCCGGTACACGCCAGGGGTCTCGGGCCTGCTGGGGGGCGCCGACGCCGACGGCGACGGGGCCGCCTGCCTGGAGGGCCTTCAGGAGAGGCTGGGGCTGCTCGCCCGCGAGCGCGAGGCCGCCGCCAGGCGGCTTGACGAGGCCGCGGGCGCGTGGGCGGAGGCGGCGGAGGACTGCCGGCGCGCTTGGCGGCGGCGGCGGCGGCTCGGATGGCGACGGCGACGCGGGGCGGCGACGGCGACCCTGAGATCCTGGCGTTGCAATTTTTCAGCTACGGGCGTTTGTGCTCGATTGCGGGCCCCGGGACCTTCACGGATCGATATCCGGCTCGATGGCGCAAAAAGGTGGAGGTTATGGGGCTCCGTTAATGCTTATTTTTCGATATGCATTTTTTTTTGCAACGTCGGAGCTCAGGGTACCCAGACCCCCGACGTCATGATTTGTTCATCACGTCGACCCCTGGAGGTCTCGACCTTTTCTCCTGGAGACCGGTTTTGCATCCCGAGTCGTTTTTCGACGGCCCCGAGGGCCGGTGAGGGCCCCCAGGGGCCGAAAACGGCAAAAAACCTCCCGTCATGATTTTTTCATTGCCCGAGGGGGTTTGGGGATCTCAGGGGCTTAGCTGCCTCGATACCCCCGTTTTGATACGCAACACGTGCCGTGTGCCAAACGTCCGTGTCAATACGCTGCGTGTCAGCTCCACGTGTCGGCCCACGTTTTGGCGAGTGGATCGCGCCGGACCTACGTGTTCAGTCTACGTGTTGGGCTCCGTATCAATACGCTACGTGTTGCGTGTTGCGTATCGGGGCAGCTAAGCTAAGGGGAAGCGGGTGGCGATGGCGGCGGCGGCGGCGGCAGAGGACTGCCAACGCCAGCGCTGGGCCTGCGCAGGCGCCCTTCCGTGCGTGGCGGCGGGGGCGGGCCGCGCCGTGCAGCAGCTGGAGGCGCACCGCGCCTCGTCGGGCGAGTCGCTGGCGGGCGTGTTCGAGGAGCTCGGCGCCTTCAGCGCCTCCTCCTCCTCCTCCTCCTCCTCCTCCTCCTCCTCCCTCCTCCTCCTCCTCCTCCCCCTCTCCTCCTCCTCCTCCTCCTCCTCCTCCTCCTCCTCCTCCTTCCTCCGCTCCTCCTCCTCCTCCTCCCCCCGCCTCCCCCCGCCTCCCCGAGGAGCTCGCCGCCTTCCAGCGCATGCTGGCGCGGAAGCGGGCGCTGGCCAGCGTGGTGGAGATGGTGGAGGACCCAGACCCCCTCAATGAAAAAATCATGACGCGAGGTTTTTGTAATTTGCGGCCTCTGGAGGCCCTTGCCAGCCCTCGGGACCGTCAAAAAACGACTCAGGATGCAAAACCGCTCGAGGGGAATGGGACGAGACCTCCAGGGGTCGACGTCACGAAAAAATCATGACGTCGGGGGTCTGGGGATCGGGGGCGAAGGACACATTCTGAGATCCGGGCGTTGCAATGTTTTCACGCCCGGGCGTTTTTTGCCCGGCTTCGGGCTCCGCGGGACCATCATAGACCGACCCGATATGAAAAGTGCGGCGGACAGATGGGGTCTAGGTCTCTGGTCGTGATTGCTGTCGATGTTGGCATTTTTTAGCGTCGTCGGATCTCAGGGTGCAGCTGGCACAAGGTTACGAACAGCCGCAACTGTGGACTGGCGCCCTTCTGTTCTTAGTGCCTGGGTTGGTCTTGGGTGTCTTCCATGCGGCTTTGGGCCTTGGGCGAGGGGGCTCGTGCTCTCGATCCACGTTCTAGGGGGGCTCGTGCCGATGCCCAGGCTCGTCCGCCGCCTCCGCGGAGCTCTTCGGGTGGCCCTCGCCGCCACGAGCGGACTCGTCCCGGAGTCCTGGTCAGGACGCGCACGGTGAGATGCCCAGGGAGTCGGGTAGCAGTACAGTTGAGTTTGATTGCCGGGTCGACCCTGCCAAATCAAGGGCATCGTGTCTCGCGACCCATGCTTTCCGAGGGGTCTGGTGTCCTCTCGCGTGCCCTCTCCAATCGAGCTCGACCCTCCGAGGCGGGGGTTAAGACGTTGCCACCGCATGGGGGGGATCGATCTTCGGGGACCTCGGCAGTCAGGCGATCGCAAACATGGATTCATGGGGCGTGGATTAGCAACGGGCCCCGTTTCCATGGGAAATCGCGGATCTCCGCCGCCAAGCGAGGCGGCACCGGCCGCATTTTGAGGAGGGCACCTCCCCCGATCCAGGGATTTGGCGACCGCGCGCCCCCTACCATAGGTAGGCCTGGCAGTTTCCGCCACCACTGCCACAGATAGGACGGGGGAGCAGGGAGGACGTGGAGGTCCTCCTCCTCCTCCTCCTCCTCCTCCTCCTCCTCCTCCTCCTCCTCCTCATCCTCTGTCAGGCGGTGGACATGGATATAGTCGGGCCCCGATAGTGGCCAAAACTGGCGTCCACAGCCGTGTCCATATATCCACCGCCCGCGGGGGTCTCCCTGGGCGTGGGCGGGGGATGTGGACGTATCTCCCCGCCCCGCATGCTTCAAGCCGGTAGTGTTAAGTCGGGCCTGTCCCTCTACAGGAGGAATGTTCAAAAATAGTTAAAAATTAGTCTGGGGACGATTTTTTACATGTGTTGACTATTGTTAAGCATTTTGTGCGTATTTCTGATTCATCGTCCAAAATCCGCCTGTATGCGGACATGCCTGACCTAGCGGTAGTGGTCCACATCCAGCAGGAATATCCAGGAAGCGTGCAGCATCTTTCGAAGGACTCCAGACTTCGCTCAAGGCAAGAACTCAGGCTGGAGACTGGGCTTTCTCCGAGAGCTCCCCTCTCCTGGTTGTTGGAACGGCTGCTGTTTCTCTGGGCCCGCACGACCGTTGAAGCACGCGCTCGGAGTGACGTCGATGTTCTCGGCTTCGCATGCTGCCCTATCCCTCAGCAGGGGTCCCAGATCCCCGGCACAATGCTTTTTTCATTGCGCCGACCCCTGGAGGTCTCGACCCATTCCCCTGGGGCCCGCTTCTCATCCAGAGTCGCTTTCTGGCGCTCCCGAGGCCCGGCGAGGGCCCCCCCGAGGCCGAGAGTTGCCCAAACACCTCCCGCCGGGATTCTCTTCACCCCCCGACGGGGGGGGTCCTGGGGGCGCGGGTGCCTGGCTGCCCCCCTCCTCCTGCTCCTCCTCCTCCTCCTCCTCCTCCTCCTCCTCCTCCTCCTCCTCCTCCTCTGCCCCCCCCCCACCCCCTGAGGAGACCGACGCCGTCCGCGAGGCCGTCTTCGCCTCGGGCGGCAGCGCGCTGCCGATCTCCAGGCTGGAGGACCTCGCGCACCGCTGCGGCGGCCTGCCCTCGCGCAGCCGCGCCGTCGGCCTGCGGCGCCTCGGGTTCGTGGTGGGCCCGTCGAGGACCTCGGAGGGGGAGGAGGAGGACGTTCAGGAGGGAAAGAAACACAGAGACACAATTGATCGTCGACCCCCAGGAAAATATGGGAAAATATGGGAAGTGGGGGGGAAGACAGAAGCCCAGAAAATATGGGGAAATCTGGGGGATCATGTTATTTGTGTGTATTCATTTGTGTGTCCCAGGGCCCCTTCAGACTTAAGGCACCGAGACCCCCGCGGGCAACGGCGAGAATCGCGGCGGGAGTTTTTTTTTCATTCTCGACCCCTGGGGGCCCTCACCGGCCCTCGGGACCGTCAGAGCACGACTCGGGACGAAAAGCGGGCCCCAGGGAATGGGTCGAGGCCTCCAGGGGTCGAAGCAGTGAACAAAATCATGACGTCGGGGGTCTGGGCATCCCGAATCTCATAACAAAAGGGGTATGGTCTGGTTTTTTTGGGGGGGGAGGGTCTGCATTGAGCTGCCTGGGAGGGTCTCGCGGGGTCTGCGCAGCAGGCCGCCCTGTCCTGGCCGGTCTGGGGTGGGGGGGGGGGGTCTGAAGCTGCTCGCCTCGGAAGGCTGTGGCCCCTTCCCTGTGGCCCAGACCCCCGACGCCATGACTTGTTCAGTACGTCGACCCCTGGAGGTCTCGACCCATTCCCCTGGGCCGGTTTTCCATCCCGAGTCGTGTTTGACGGTGCCGAGGGCCCGCTTTTTCCGGGCCTCCAGAGGCCGAGAGCAGCAGACAGAACAACTCCCGTCCAGATCGTCTCTCTCTGCCCGAGGGGGTCTGGGTCTTGCGAGCTCTGGGGCGCCAGGGCTGGACCTGAACGGTGTTTTGGCGATTTCGTGTGCCGTTTTCGTTCCGATGTCGTTTCGCGGCAAAGGCGGACTGAAGACAAGACGAGGGACAACGAGAACAACACGAAAACGAAGAACACGATTCAGGTTCAGCCCTGTGGGGCACCGGTGCCGCACCCTGAGGAAGGAAAGGATCCCGCTGCCGCTACCGTTCTGTCCTTCTCCCGTTTTCTTGCGTGCTTCCCTGGAGGCCCTCGCCGCTGCCGTTGGATCCGCTTCAGGATCCTGGTCAGAGCGCACCCAGGGAGAGATATGGGGAGCAGCGGCAGGTTCATGCGACGTTGGCGCGCCGGCGACGCCAGCGAAGGCGTTCAAGGTTGAAGCCTGCGACGCGGAAGCACCGACTGAACTCCACCCTGAACGAACGGGCCCGCGATCGGGCCGGTTCAAGGCGGAGCGATCGACGGGGTGTCCAAAGACCTTTGCGCGCGCGCCGACGCCCCACGAACCTGCCGCAGCGGTATCGGCACCCGTGGGCGCCCTCAGGACCATCCTGGAGCATGCGCTCCGGCACGCCCTGGAGGCCACGCGGCGCTGGCCGCTGGACCCCACTGCGCCGCCGGCCCTGGAGACGGACGAGTGCGCGGAGGCCCGGGCGCGGGCGGTGCGGTGCTGCGCGGAGCTGGAGCGCCTCCAGCGGGTCGCGGCCCTGGTCTCCAGGGGCGCCCCCGTCGAGGCCCAGCGGCGGGCCGGCGGGCGGGGCGCGCCGGAGGAGGAGGAGGACCTGGGCCCCTGGGCCTGCCGAGCCCTGGCGGAGCCGATCATCGCCAGGTTCCGGTACCACTTCTGCCGGCCAGAGAGCGCGCTCTGCCGCATGGACCAGCCCGACCGTGCGTTCAAGTACGTCACGCACGTGATGGACCTCCACACCCAGGAGCTGGACCGGTGGCTGCCCGACGGCGCGGGCGGTGCGCCCGCCAGCGGCGGCACCGCGAGTGCCGATGGCGGCGGCGCGAAGGTCGACCTCGCCGCGGGCCTGGCCCTTGCGCTGGCTCAGGAGGCGCGGCTCTTTGTGCGCTCGCGCATGCCGCTGCTGGCCGCGCCCTCTCCCGAGGCGCGGCCGCTGCTCCTAAACACCATGACCCATTTCGTGAAGTTCCACGGGGACGTCACCAGACCGGGGGGCGTGAGCTGACCGCCTGGCCCGATCCTGGCCTGGCCGCTGGGCCCGATCCTGGGCCCGAGTGTGTGTGTGTGTGTGTGTGTGTGTGTGTGTCTCTACTGTCTGCCCTGAGCTCCGGGCGTAGCAGTTTCTCTTCGCGCTGGGCGTCATCGCCGGTTACTGGGCCCGGGGCCGTCTCAGATCGAAGCGGCTCGAGAACTGCGGCAGAGTGATGGGGCCCATGGGGCTCTGGTCGCGGTGTTTCGCGACGCTGCCATTTTTCGAAAGGTTTGTTCTCAGGGGCTGCCCACCTGGCCCAGCCAGGAGGCGAGTATACAACCAAGGCGCTGAAACAAGGACCGCGTTGGGTTCGGAAGCGCGGCTGTGCTGTCTCTGGGGTCGTTCCGTGGTTGCTCCTCTGGCCCTTCTCGTGCACCCAGGCTCTCTTGGTGTAAAAAGGGCTTCGTTCCTTATTTGAGCAGGAGGAGGAGGAGGAGGAGGAGGAGGAGGAGGAGGAGGAGGAGGAGGAGAAGGAGCAGGAGGAGGAGGAGGAGGAGGAGGAGGAGAGGAGGAGGAGGAGGAGGAGGAGGAGGAGGAGGAGGAGCTGGAGGAGGAGGAGCCCGGCTGTACTGCGCCGACCCGGGCCCAGGATGGCCCCGGCCAGGCTTAACGCGAGGTGGTCCGCCAGCGCCCCCCGAGCCAGAGACTTCGGCGGGGAGGCGGGCGCCGCCGCGTTCGCGGACTTCTCGCAGAACCGGCCCCTGCAGGCGGCGGCGCCTGACGCTGCAGCCCCAGACGTGACCTCGGTGGTGGCGGAGGAGATTCAGGGGAGGGAAAGCAAGAGCCGCTGCCCTTCCCTCGTCTCTCCCACTTCTTCTGGGGCCTCCTGGGCGATCCCTCGTCGCCGCCGCTCCGGTCCGCCTCGAACTTCGGGTCCGAGCGCACCCCCTTGGAGAGAGGTCGGGGGAGGATGATGAGGAGGAGGAGGAGGAGGAGGAGGAGGAGGAGGAGGAGGAGGAGGAGGAGGAGGAGGAGGAGGAGGAGGAGGAGGAGGAGGAGGAGGCGGAGGAGGCGGATGCGGAGGCGGAGGCGGAGGCGGAGGCGGAGGAGGAGGAGGAGGAGGAAGAGGCGGAGGAGGAGGAGGAGGAGGAGGAGGAGGAGGAGAGGAGGGGAGGAGGAGGAGGAGGAGGGAGGAGGAGGAGGAGGAGGAGGAGGAGGAGGAGGAGGAGGAGGAGGGAGGGAGGGGAGGAGGAGGAGGAGGAGGAGGAGGAGGAGGAGGAGGAGGAGGAGGAGGAGGAGGAGGAGGAGGAAGAGGAGGAGGAGGGAGGAGGAGGAGGAGGAGGAGGAGGAGGAGGAGGAGGAGGAGGAAGAGGCGGAGGAGGAGGAGGAGGAGGAGGAGGAGGAGGAGGAGGAGGAGGAGGAGGAGGAGGAGATGGAGGAGGAGGGGGAGGAGGGGGAGGGGGGGAGGAGGGGGAGGAGGAGGGGGAGGAAGGAGGAGGAGGAGGAGGAGGAGGAGGAGGAGGAGGAGGAGGAGGAGGCGGAGGAGGAGCAGCATCTCGGTGCCTCCTGGATTTTCTCCCCAGGCGGAGGACCCTGCGGGCGACGGCGCCCTCGCAGAGGGCACCGCGCAGGCTCAGGGCTACCGAAATGGGTACGGAAACAGTTGGTACAAAGTCCAACAGGTTGTTGGTTTCTTATTTGTTGTTTTGCCGTTCGGCGCGGGCCATATGGAGTAGATCTTGGCTGTTTTATGTGCCTGTTTCAAGCAGGTGGAGTCTCCCTCCATAGGACACGCGGTTGCAAACAGTCGCAGCAAGCAGAGGGGAGCCAGACCACTCCCTCCCCCCCTTCCGCCCAATATCGAAACGCCACATGAGAAAACGATCACAAAGTCCAGCAGCAGTTCTTGTTCATTCCGAACAGGGTTCGCTGTCGGCGTCGCCACGGACGTTGTTCATTAGAGACTGGGGGACGCTTGTCCAACAGCGGCCGCTTTCGGTGTTTTGGACAACATTTTGCTGTTTGGCACTGTGCCAATCTGGTCGTAAAGCAAACCAGCATAGTAAGGATGAGCGACTTTCCAACGCTACCCTTGCATGCTTCCAATTCGGCCCATCCTTGGCCGCTCTCGCTGGCCGCGCCCCGCCCGCAAAGTGTCGACATGGCCTTCCAAGGCCCCTGCATCCTTATCGTGCGCCCTTATGATACGGTCCACTGTACCCACCTAGACATCCGCCGATCTGTTTTTTCAATCCGCGGCCCCAGAGGTCCCGACCCCTTCCACAGGTGTGGTTTTTCGTCGCGGATCAATTTTCGATGGTTCCTGGGCCCGATAACGGGCCCCGGAGGCCGACATCCACGAAAAACCGCTGGATGGAAGAAATGATGCCCTGGGATCTCTGGTTCCTCATCGTGTGCTTATGACGTGGGTTGACTGTGCCCATGTCACAGCGCCCCAACAGGCCACGTGCATCCTTCCCCCATGTGGTGTATCCACCCGCCGCGAGTGCATATGTCAGAGGCTACGTATGGTTTTCCCACTTCGTCCCACTCCTCAGACCTATTCTGGGGCCATCCTGGGGCCACATCCCAGGCCACTTCCCCAGGAAGCGCCCCGCGGGGCGGCGGTGCCCTCCACGACCTTCCTCTGCGGGTGGACTGCATGCCCACGTCGGGCGCCCCAACAGGCGGACGGGGGCCTGCTGGGCGCGCGGCTGGCCGGCGGGCTTCGGGCGGGCTTCTCCCACCTGGCCAAGAACGCGCCCGCCGCGCCGGGCGTCCCCGGCGGGCCGCCCGCCCCCGGCGGGGCCCCGCCGGCGCCGCCGGCGGGGCGCGGCGGCGGGGGCGCGGGCGCGGCGTCCGGCGGCTTCCTGGACGCGTGGGCGGCGGCGGACGCGGGCTCCCAGAGGAGGGAAGGAGTGAGTGTTTGTTTGTTTCTTTATTTTTTTTGTGTGTATATATATACACACATATGAGACTTCGGCAAGTTTGCTCGCGTGGACGGTGGGGCGGGCTGGAGCCTGGAGTAGACCACAAGCGACCTGCACGTGCACGGAAGCCACGCCAGTCGGAAAGGCACCTGCACGCCAGTGTTCACCCGAAGAGGGGCGGGCGAGGGAGGGGGGGGGGGGGGGGGGGGCAAACGCCTGGCAAGTCAATTTGCCCGAAAAGCAGGCTCAAAGGTGCCCATACCGCTGCCCGGTGCCCTGCCCTCGTCTTCCCCTTTGCCCAGGCTCCTGGGGAGGCCCTCTCGTCGCCACCGCTGGATCCGCCTCGAGATGAAGCATGCTCAGAGCGCGCCCCGGGAGAGGCTTGGGGAGCGTAGCGTTAAGTCGGGCACGTGCCTCTACCGGAGGAATATTCAAGAATAGTTCAAGAAATAGTCTGGGACGATTTTCTGACTATTCTTTGATTTCTTTGGAGTGCTTTGGGACTACGTTGGATTCTTCGCCCGCAATCCGCCTGCAGGGGGACATGCCCGACCTGAGCGCAGCGGTGCCGGCACCTTTTGCTTTCCCCAGGCTCCGTAAGGGAGAAGCTCTCCGCGGCCATGGCGGAGGGGGGCAGCGCGTGGCAGCGGCAGGCGCTCCGCCTGCGCCGGTTGAGCGGGCCGGTGGACGGCGAGGAGCCCGAGGCCGCGAGGCTGGCCGCGCTGCTCGCCGACCTCTGCGAGGCCTCGCGCAGCCGCGCCGAGTGCCTGTCCACCCCAGCGGCGCGCAGCATCTACACGGCCAGAGTGTTGGAGCCGGGCGTGCGCGACGCCATGGGCGCGGTGCGGGCCCGCTGGAACGCCGTCGGCGACCTCCTGGCCGAAGCAAGAGATGCTTCCCTGCTGATCGAGACGATGGAGGAGATGTGCCGCTTCTTCGACCGCTTCCCGCTCGGGGAGCACATGGTCTCGGTCGTCGATGAGGTCAACACCATGAGACTCGGCATGATAGAGAAGACGTCTGACGCGCTGGCGGACGCGGTTCGCAAGGTGCTGCGCCGGCTCGACACCGAGTCCGCGGTGTTCTCCTACGCCCTCGGTCCCGCCCTTGCCATTTTGTCCTGCAGGCTGCGGCCATCGAATTTTCAGCTCGTGGCCACGCAGGGAGTCGGGAAGATCGCCGAGACCCTGATGGGGGAGCTTCTGCGGCAGGCACCCTTCGCCGACGACGACCGCATGGGCCTGTTCTCGTCGAACTGCGGCGGCGACCTGCCTGCGGTGCTGTCCGTGGTCTCCGACCCGAGCTGCCTGAGACCGCTCGCCACCCTCCTGGAGGGCTGCACCCTGCTGGGCCTGGACAAGGCCAGGGCCGCCGAGCTGATCTCGGTGCTGCGCCAAGTCAAGCGGTGCAGCAGCTCCAGGCCGGCGGTGCTGGACCTTGCAGAGGATCGAGGGGGACCCAGACCCTCTCGGGCAAGCAAACAGACATGACGGGAGTTTTTGTTGCCCTTACCGGCCCTCGGGACCGTCAAAAAACGACTCAGGATGAAAAACCAGTCCAGGGGAATGCGTCGAGACCTCCAGGGGTCGGCGTAATGAACAACATCATGACGTCGGGGGTCTGGCGAGGGCAAGCTGCCTAGGCAGAGACTCTGAGGTTCCGCGCGGAGCTCTTGGATCGGCGCTGGACCGTGTGGGCCTCTTGGAAGCCCGTGTTTATGCCCCCGTGTTTTCGTCCTCTTCTGCAGGCGGCGCCCTCCAGCGACGTGCTGCGCCAGAGGCAGGCGGAGGCGTACGATGCCGCGGGGGTCGCGGACATCTCCGTCGGGGATGCCCTCTCGGTGCTGCTGAAGCGGCCCGACCTCATGGGCACGATGACGGTGGACGACTTAGAAGATGCCCCCTTCAGCACGCTGCAGGACCGCTTCTTCCGCCGCCTCCAAAGCCTCCCCGTCCCCGTCGTCCTCCTGCTCCTCCTTCTCCTCCTGCTCCTCCTGCTGCTCCTCCTCCCCCTCCTCCTTCTCTTTTTCCTGCTTCTTGATCCTCTTCAGTCTCCACCCACCCTCACCCTCAGTTGCCATTTTGGCAGAAGTTGTGTTGTTTCAGCATGTCCTCGCACGCGAGTTGGCCGCTGCACCCTTTCGTTTGCGATGATTCTCTCATACGTACAAATTCGCTCAATAGTTCGTCGGTAAAGTCAAAGTGCAGAGGTAAGGGTTTCAGCTTCTCTTCAGGGGGGGAGACCTAGACAATATTGATTAGCCGCCGAGAGATGGAACTTCATTACGCACAATGTTGGACGCCGATGCTCGCCAAGGGGAGTCCGCCAAGCGGGTCAGGGGTGGCATTGGGCAGACCGGACAGACTCGTCCGCTGCCGTCAAGAGGAGCAGGAGGAGGAGGAGGAGGAGGAGGAGGAGGACAACGACGAGGTAGGAGGATGATAAGAAGAAGGAGGAGGAGGAGCAGGAGGAGGAGGAGGAGGAGGAGGGAGGAGGAGGAGAAGGAGAAGGAGGAGGACGACGAGGAGGAGGAGCAGGAGCAGGAGCAGGAGGAGGAGGAGGAAGAGGAGGAGGAGGAGGAGGACGAGGAGGAGGAGGAGAAGGAGAGCAACGACGACCACGACGACGCGGCCACCCCGCCCAGAGGACCTCCTCCCCGCCGGCGCCATGCTCGGCGGCCTGGGCGGCGGGGCGCTGCAGCCGCTGCAGCTCGGCGCCGGCACGGCCCATGCCACGCTGCAGCGGGGCGCCGGCGCCGCTCAGGCAGAGGGGTGGTCGGGGCCTCCTGCTCCTTCTGCTCCTGCTCCTGCTCCTGCTTCTCCTCCTCCTCCTCCTCCTCCTCCTTTTCCTCCTCCTTTTCCTCCTGCTCCTCCTGCTCCTCCTGCTCCTCCTGCTTCTTCTCCTCCTTCTCCTCCTCCTCCTCCTGCTCCTGGTCCTGGTCCTGGTCCTCCTCCTCCTCCTTCTCCTCTTCCTCCTCCTCAGAGACGGGGGTCAATTGAAACGGGGGTCAGTCAGAGCGCGGGACCTTGCAGGATCCTGCAGGGGTAGGGCTGCACTGACCCGGGGTAGCGTGCAGAGTCCTGCAGGATCCTGCAGGACCTTGCAGGATCCTGCAAGGCCTGACTGACCTGTGTTTGCATTGACCCAGGTAAGAGGGTCCCCGAGGGTGGTCCAGAGCCTCGAGTCAAGCAGTGGCGAAGCGTCCGGTTTTGCTTATCGGACTACCAAAGAATGTTCCAAGAACTTTTTGCGGTTGGCACGAAATGTTCCTGAAACATTTTTGTCTGAGGCCGTGTTGTTTCATCTCATCGGGTTCATGTTCTAAGACCAAGGTTATTCTGGTTATTCTTTACGCTTCGCGTATCCCCACCAGCCCATCTCACAGCAGCAACTCTTGCGAAGCATGCCGACAGTCGTGTTTTTCAGGCGTGTGTCCGCTTGGCCCCGCATATCTCCCCTGTTCCTCCTTCCTCCCGCCTCCTTGTACATCCTCCTTGTGAGGGGAGCGAGAAAGGAGCGGGAGAAGGAAGAGGCGGAGGAGGAGGGAGAGAAAGCGCTCCTCGTGATTTGAGTCGTTTGGGGTTTCTCGTCCTGGTGTGAGTCGTTCGGGCCCTTCTTCCTGGTGTGAGTCGTTCGGGCTCTTCGTGGTGTGAGTCGTTCGGGCTCTTCGTCCTGGTGTGAGTCGTTCGGGCTTCTCGTGGTGTGAGTTGTTCGGGCCCCTCATCCTGGTGTGAGTCGTTCGGGCCCCTCCTCCTGGTGTGACTCGTTCGGGCTCCTCGTGGTGTGAGTCGTTCGGGGCCCGCGTCGTGGTGTGAGTCGTTCGGGCTCCTCGTGGTGTGAGTCGTTCGGGCGCCTCGTCCTGGTGTGAGTCGTTCGGGCCCCTCCTTGTGGTGTGAGTCGTTCGGGCTCTTCGTGGTGTGAGTCGTTCGGGCCCCTCGTCCTGGTGTGAGTCGTTCGGGCTCCTCGTGGGGCCTCTTGGGGGCCTCTTGGGGGCCTCTTGGGGGCCTCGTGGGGCCTCTGGGGGCCTCTTGGGGGCCTCTTGGGGGCCTCTTGGGGGCCTCTTGGGGCCTCTTGGGGGCCTCTTGGGGGCCTCTTGGGAGGCTCCTGGGGGCCTCTGGGGGCCATTTTGGGGCCTCCTGCGACCTCCTCAGAAGCGCAAGTGAGCGCTGCCCCCTGAGAAGGACAACATGAGCCCAAAACCTTCGTAAAATCAATGATTTTGCTATGAAGGAAGAGGAGCGCTGCCCTTTCAGGAGGCCAAGATGGGGCCACAACCGTAGTAACATGAATGATTCTGGCTTCAAAGAAGAGGAGAGGGGCCAAACTGGCCCCCCCCGTCGGGGCCAGAATCCTCGTGAGAGTCGTCGTTTGTTAGCCCTCCCAGGAGTCGAAAAAAGACCCCTCCAACGACCCGCGGGTCGCCCTCTCCAGGCCCAGGGGGAGGGGGTAGGGGGAGGGGTAAACCCCTCCCCGAAGGGGAAGAAGGGGGGTTGAGAACAGAGAGAGCTCGCTAAACACGCCCAAAGGGCTGGTAGCTCGCTAAACCACTCACGCCCAAAGGGCTGGTGGGATTGGAGAAGCAGGAAGAGGAGGAGGAGGATGCGGAGGAGAGGAGGAAGGAGGAGGGAGGAATTGGGGAGAGCAGGAGGAGGAGGAGGAGGAGGAGGAGGAGAGGAGGAGGTGGAGGGAGGAGGAGCAAGGAGGAGGGAGGAGTAGGAGGAGTAGGTAGCAGTAAGTAGGTAGTAAGGTAGGTAGTATAGTAGTAGTAGAATCGTAAGTAGTAAGTAGTATTAGTAGTAGTAGTAGTAGTAGTAGTAGTAGTAGTAGTAGTAGTAGTAGTAGTAGTAGTAGTAGTATTAGTAGTAGTAATAGTAGTAGTAGTTGTAGTAGTAGTAGTAGTAGTAGTAGTAGTAGTAGTAGTAGTAGTAGTAGTAGTAGTAGTAGTCGTAGTAGTAGTAGTAGTAGTAGTAGTAGTAGTAGTAGTAGTAGTAGTAGTAGTAGTAGTAGTAGTAGTAGTAGTATGTAGTAGTAGTAGTAGTAGTAGTAGTAGTAGTAGTAGTAGTAGTAGTAGTAGTAGTAGTAGTAGTAGTAGTAGTAGTAGTAGTAGTAAGTAGTAAGTAGTAGTAGTAGTAGTAGTAGTAGTAGTAGTAGTAGTAGTAGTAGTAGTAGTAGTAGTAGTAGTAGTAGTAGTAGTAGTAGTAGTAGTAGTAGTAGTAGTAGTAGTAGTAGTAGTAGTAGTAGTAGTAGTAGTAGTATTATAAGTAGTAGTAGTAGTAGTAGTAGTAGTAGTAGTGTAATTAGTAGTAGTAGGTAGTATGTAAAGTAGTAGTAAGTATTAGTCGTAGTCGTAGTGGTAGTAGTAGTAGTAGTATTAGTAGTTAGTAGTAGTAGTAGCTATTAGTAGTTAGTTAAAGTAGTGGTAGTGGTAGTAAGTAGTAGGTAGTAGTAGTAGTAGTAGTAGTAGTAGTAGTAGTAGTAGTGTAAGTAGTAGTAGTAGTAGTAGTAGTAGTAGTAGCAGTAGCAGTAGCAGCAGTAGCAGTAGCAGTAGCAGTAGCAGTAGCAGTAGCAGTAGCAGTAGCAGTAGCAGTAGAGTAGCAGTAGCAGTAGTAGCAGTAGTAGTAGTAGTAGTAGTAGTAGTAGTAGTAGTAGTAGTAGTAGTAGTAGTAGTAGTAGTAGTAGTAGTAGTAGTAGTAGTAGTAGTAGTAGTAGTAGTAGTAGTAGTAGTAGTAGTAGTAGTAGTAGTAGTAGTAGTAGTAGTAGTAGTAGTAGTAGTAGTAGTAGTAGTAGTAGTAGTAGTAGTAGTAGTAGTAGTAGTAGTAGTAGTAGTAGTAGTAGTAGTAGTAGTAGTAGTAGTAGTAGTAGCAGGCGTAGGAGTAGAAGTAGAAGTAGATGTCTTTGGGTCGGAGGCCTGTGAGGGCGTGTTCGGCGCCTCTTAGGGCCTCTTGCAGACATGTTGGGGGCATCTCCTCGTGGGGCCTCTTGGGGGCCTCTTGGAGCCTTTTGGGGCCTCTTGGGGGCCTCTTGGGGGCCTCTTGGGGGCCTCTTGGGAGCCTCGTGGGGCCTCTGGGGGCCTCCTGGGGGCCTCTTGGGGGCCTCTTGGGGGCCTCTTGGGGCCTCTTGGGGGACTCTTGGGGGCCTCTTGGAGGCCTCTTGGGAGGCTCCTGGGGACCTCTTGGGGCCATCTTGGGGCCTCTTGCGACCTCCTCTGCAGCGCTACGGAGCGCTGCCCCCTGAAAAGGACAAAATGAGGCTAAAACCTTCGTAGAATCAACGATTTTGCTATGGAGGAAGAGAAGCGCGGCCCCCTCAGGAGGCGAAAATGGGGCCAAAACCGTAGTAAAATCAATGATTTTGGCTTCGAAGAAGAGCAGAGGGGCTAAACTCGGTCCCCCCGTCGGGGCCAGAATCCTCGTGAGGGTCGTCGTTTTAGCCCTCCCAGGACTCGAAAAAGAGTCCTCCAACGACCCGCGGGGCGCCCTCTCCAGGCCCAGGGGGAGGGGGTAGGGGGAGGGGTAAACCCCTCCCCGAAGGGGAAGAAGGGGGGTTGAGAACAGAGAGAGCTCGCTAAACCACTCACGCCCAAAGGGCTGGTGGGATTAGAGCAGCCTTTTGGTTCGAAGAACATGTCGAGGTAGGCTTATAGGAATGCCGGGACGATCGGCCCCTGCTCAATTAAGACCCGGACCCCTCGGGTCATGAAAACATAATGTCTTGCGGTTTTCCGCTACGTTCGGCCTGTGGGGGCCCTTACAGGGCCGCGGGACTGTCAAAAACGAATCAGTACGAAAAACATGTCCTTGGGAATGGGTTCCGACCTCTTGGGGTCGACCCCGCCTGCGCATCGGATGCCCCTTGTGGGTGCTGCGCTTCGGCACGGGCGCAGTTGTTCTGCTGATGCACCTTGGGGCTCCTGCTGGGCGGCTCTGTATTTCCACTGGCGATCCCGTTGAGGAGTTGGCTGCTTCGCTCACGTTGTGGCAGCGTGCTGCTTAGCCTTCCGCAGCTGTTGTGTGTGTGTGGCAATCGGGGCATGCTTTTTGTTATTGGGTGGGTTTCGCGGTTGCGTTCGTTTGCCTCTTCATCGCGATCATCCTCATCCTCATCCTGCAGTGGGAGGAGGCTGGCGGGCAATGTGAATCGGGTGAAACAAGCCGGCTGGCCGCCCTGGATCGCTCATATCTTGAAGTTCTTTCAGCCGTGAGTGCACCAGCCCTCCCTCCTGTCCTCCACGGCTGCTTTTCTTCGGAAGCTGGAACATATACATGACCATTGGCGGGCTGTTTTAAATCCCAGGACTTCCTGAGGGTCGGGGACGACGTCGGGGTGGTGGTGTCTATTTGTTTCACCGTCTTCCTGGGGAAACATCGCAACATGTATACACACACCACGATCCGCTTTTCTGTGCGAATTTCAGTGCGGGGCAGGACAAAGCGTCGGTGTATAGAGTGCGGCTCCTTACTTCCTCCTTGCACGCCCCCCCCTGGGCTGCCGGACCATTAGTTAGTCGACCGCCCCCGACAGCTCGAACGTCCGTGCGGATAGTCTCTGCCGTGCCGCGACGAAGAAAGCTCCCCGAAAGCAGTGGCGAAGCGTCCTGATTTGCCTAAGGGGGCCACCAAGGGAATGTTGCAGGAACCTCTTCGTGGCTTGCGCGAAAGATGTTATTTCGGTAGCAAATCATGGGAGCCTGGTGTATCCTTTTAATTCTGGCTCTAGCGTCGCCTAGCGTCGATTAGCGTCTGGGAGTCGATGCTATAGCGCCG